GTTCCCACTTGATGAAACACTTCACAGAGCCTACAACATTATTTCTAGGAAGACAGAAATCTCGTTCGTACCTCTCGCCTCCGGTCCATGTTAGTCATTAGTGTGCGGAAGCCAGTTGGGCCATCCTGCTCTTGAAGCCCAACAATGGATCATTGCTGGGGCAGTACCAGTAATAATCACTAGGTCGCGGCCGATGTTGAACTGCATTTCGATCTTCATATGATTAGGAAAAAACCAGGGAAAGTCGTCCCTTAGTTAGGGATGTTGGGGATACGGGACGTGCCAACCACCCTTTAAAGTATTTGAGGAGGGCTAATTTTTCTGGTAAGATACTTTTTTGTGAATGATCGTTCCTCTTATGCTTACTCGACTCCAATAACGCTGGAAAGTTTCGATAATATTGCTTCCGTAGGGCTTCAACTAAAAAGAAACAATACCAGTTTCGTTTCCCGGACTGCAGGGTTCAGAAAGAACTGCAGTTGAGAAACTACTTCTTTTTCACACGAACTCACTTTGAAATTACATACTACTTAACGGTTGAACTAAAATTAACAGAAACAAGTGAACATTGAAGAGTAGGAATCATAATGATGAGGGAAACAAAAAGTTTCCAAACTTTTGACGCGCCATTACTTGAAAGAATATTCTTTCTCAACTTCTTCATTACAGATTTTTGGAAATTATTCTTCTCATCGGGGTGGAAGTGGTGTAGTGACAAGTGGCGCGCTTACCACGCGAGCGGTCCAGGATCAAATCCTGGGTCGTGAGTCGCCCGGGCCAACCAAGCTTTCCATCCTTCCGGGTTCGGTACCAGATTTGTTTGGGAGGATGAAAACACTGGCTTGTACATCGGCTGGCCCCCGCAAGTCATTGTATTGGCCAAATCGCATTCAAAAGCCACTGCGAATGTGCAAATGGGAGTAGAATGCGTGCCGCATCCCAAAAAGGAATTGATCAACTGCAAATGCTTTATCCTTTATCCTTTTATTATATTTTTTTATTATCTTTCCATCGTATTCTGGACTATTTTGTATGGATATTCTGAATTTGAGACAGCTTCGTTTTTTGTCGGCGCGCTAGATGAAAAATAAAAAACTTTCCGAATTTTTGACCGCTACTGTACATCTCATTAGCGTTGCCATGGTAAACTCAAACAGTTTTCGACCGCTACACTTTCCAGAGTTCCTTAGGATGAACGGGATGCTTAAATAAATACGATAATGAGTTTTGGGTATTCATTTCGACCGCTGAATTATCCTCCGTACTTGATGCATGGTAGTTATTTGCATACCTCACTTTTTTGGTCCGTGTGCTATGCTTCCCCAAAGCTGAGTGGTCAAAAGTTTCCTTTGAATTTATTTGTTTTGAATGTTGTGCTTTTTTCATTTTTAGTGCATGTTTTCTTTAACATACGTACACACATAAATTAAATGTAGGTCCTTTATGAGGGCAATCCCAGATGGGAAGACAGAAAAAATTTAAAGAACTTCTCGTCCCAACCCCTTCGGGGAGATAGCATACGACTCTTTAACTCCGCATTTCGCAACACTTATCAAGCAGTGAGCTTCAGCGCGGTAGCGTGCGGAGTTAAACTGGTCGAATTTCTATATGTGCAAAATTCCGCCATCAAGCAAACACTCAAGTCCCAAAATTGTGGTGGTGCCTTTGACCACGAAAGTGGTACATAGGTGTACCACCAGTAGTGAAAGAGTCAAGGATATAGGCCGGTATGCCGTTATAAACGTCAACGCCAGGGCGCGATCATAGGCCTCCAGCACGTAACACTAGGGTCTGAGTGAATGCAGTTTGTGTTTGAGGCAACCCTGGATATCCGGGGCATACAAAATGGAGCAGCGCTGCTGCGTGGGCGGATGCCATCCTCTGCCTTCTAGAGCGATGGGGCTTATAATAGTCGGCGAGTATGTTTGGCACATTATTTGATCGTTGAAAGAGCGCAAAAAGGCAGGCGAGCACACATGGAGAATCGAGGGTTTGTGACATTGCGTTCGCCATCGCCAATGCCCCAACGTCGACAACGTGACGGTATACCCTTCCGATCTTCTCGCAAAACAAATTTCGAAACCTGCGCTATCGTGAACGCGTTCATTATGCTCTAATGTTGATGAAATGTGGGCATGACCAGAATGGTCCCAAGGCAACTCCCGGAACCTTCCTCACTATGTAGATGACGTTCCTCCTCCTGCTCCTATCCTCCCCTCCTCCCTCCGTTGCCCTCCACCTGCCACTACTGGACCTTGTGGAGTGACCGAGAGTTTGCTACCTAGGTGTTTATATAGCCGTTGGGGTGTTATCACAGCCAAGCCATTGCAAAACATTGACAAGGCAGGCCCAGCGAGGTTCCGAGATTTGTTGACGGACTGTTTATTTCATTAGCTGCCTTATCACTCACCTCATTCTGCGAACGGATAGAGAGCGTACATACATACACAAACCGACCCACCAAACTTCTGGTTTATATAATGAGACATAGATAGAAATTGCTCTACGAGAAAAAAACTTACCTTCTGGATCATGCAATCAAAACTGCTGGAGCTCCTCCTTCCAGAAGGTCGTGTTTGCGGACGTGTTGGGATCCAGTGGCGCTTTATTTTTCATACAACATCGCTTTTGATGACTCAATCAACAGATGTGAGATGATGTATGAAAAACAACTAACCCCATTGCTGTTGCAAGTGGTTGATGTACACTACTGGGAAAACGCCAATGGGAGGGGATAGAGACTTGCCGAGGGACACCATGACAACGCTCTGCACGGAAAGAGCACCGAAAAGAAGCTTTGGAGGAGTACCCACCATAACCTTTATCGTCTCTAAGCATTAGGTTGTCCAGAAGGTAACGCGGAGGTTGACCCCCACCCATAAAGTCAACATCTCCAGCCTTTTTGGAAACCATTAGAAATTACATATCTTTTTCAACAACGAGCATGCTAATCTTGCCGAACCGAATAACTGAAAGCCGTGGACGCGGAAGTCGTCGGTGGTTTTTCTATAATACCTCGCCTTTATGTTTTGCCTAACCGACGTCGCTGTTGTTCCAATGTTCTACGACCATCGTCTATATCGGACCACAGTCTCCTCTGTGCAAGATTCCACTTCTCGATGCGTGTTGAGAGGACAACAAAGTTCAGGAAGCGAAGCTCCAGGACAGTCATCAACTGGGACCACTTCACTTCTATCGTCAGCTTATGGGAGGATTCCGTCATCGGAAACATCGACGAGGAGTACTATCGACTCGATGATCATCTTCACGATTGTGGCAGGAGGGCAGAGAATTTGAAAGTCACCAAGGGACGTCTGTCTACGGAAACTCTCGAGCTGATACGCCAACGTGGAGCCGCACGAGCTGCAGGCAATCACCAACTCACGTCCGAGCTTGCAAAGCTGTGCGAACAGACGATTTAGGGAGATCACAAGGAGCGACGAGCAGCAGTATCAGCAGCAAGCAAGCAGCGAAGCAATAAAGACTAGGAGGGGCATCCGCAGCGCTCGCCCAAGCTTTGCCAGCTACAAGATCAAGAAGACTTGCCTCCGACGTCCGGATGAAACAGTTACTGCATTCCGAAGGGCAATGGAGAAAGTCATCCACAACTACTTGAATCTCTTCGATAGCTATGTCCATCTGCCTACTTATCAACCGCAAGAGGATGGATACGTCGATCCCTCACTTCTCTCTTCCAAAGTTCGACATGCCATCAATTCAGTGAAGAATTGTACAGCATCCAGTCTCTACAGGGTTAAATCGGAACATCTGAAGAACGTACCGCTTGTTATCATCAAAACTCTGTCTCGACTCTTCACGCGTACTTTCCGGAATGCAAGGTACCCCTATTGGAAAAGCAGCAGGAGCGGACGACATTTGCAACTATCGCCGGGTGACCGCCGCCCCGATGGTCAGACTTCTACACGAAAGCTCTGAGCGAAAGGAATGAACGGTTTTACGTCCCTCGAGTGAGCAGGAGCCACTAGACCACTCTAGCCCGCGACAGGAACGAATGGAGGAGTTGGTCCGCCCGCTCGAGCAAATTGACGATCAAAGGGACGACAGGTGATACAGGTGATACCTTGCCTCCCCAGGCTTTGTTTCTTTGGCTTTCAAATCTATTACAGCCGAAGAAGCTGTTAATATGGTTGAAAAATTGGAAGGTGGTGAGAGAGTTATCGCGAGAGCATGGGTGAAACGAAGTCGAATAGGCCGAATTGTTGAGTTCTTGCGTGGTTGTTTGTACGACATCTGAGCATCAACATGATGGACAATTTTTTCTTTCTTCTGTTTACTGACCTTGCTGTTTATGGTGCATCACGTCGGCGTGCTGGACAACCATTGATGCCGTGTTAAATTCTCTGGCCTCAGAAAGTGTGGTGCATTTTGCCGATTCCGCTGCTGTTCCGTCAGAGCTCATCTGACCAACTTTTTTAGCTTCCCTTGCCTTAGCTTCTAACGATTCCCTTAGTCGCTTTTCGTCGAACACACTTGTCGACACCTCCCCTGTCATACTACATACGACATCATCTTATCGCTATTACTGCATTTGATATGCGAAGAGGCAGAAAACAATGTAAGCACGAAATTGAAGGAGTTCAAAGCAGAACTCAATGCCAGGAGAGAGCCGAATTCAGCAAAAAAAGTTGATTGGATAGCTAGAATGAAAATAATGGAAAAGGCATAAGAATATGCTGGAGGTGTGATGCGTAAAAATCTATTTGTAAGATCGAGGTAAGGGTGTGCTTTATTTGAATTTTCCTAAAACTATTGCTCTCTCTTCTAACTATAAGTGGAAATCTTTGCATCGAATTGGGGCATTGAATTGGAAGTGATTTTCAATGACTTTCTATGGAGGCTGGAGGATGATAAAACCTAATAGCAACAACATAACGCACGAGAATCAACTAAGGCATAGTGAGAAACAGTAGTGCCTTAAAATAGTAACATTCAGTCGAGTGACTAGCATGATGATGGCTCGAACATTTGTCCTTTCAGGCTCGGAAATTGATATTAGAACTGCTCCGATTAAGCTACGTTTAAGCAAAGGAGGACTGGATGGCATTAAGACGGGAGCTGCCATTTATGGAGATAGAGAAGATGCCCTTGGTCACCTGTGCTCTCGTAAAGCTACTGAGTACATTGAAAGTGAGCAAATACGGTTTTTACCCTCAAATTACTGCCAACAAACCTTTTGACCAACAATCCAGTGAAACCAAAAGCTGTAGAAGCTTTGGACTCGCTGTTTTTAAGCTTCCGAGCGATCTATGCACCAGCACCAAGGAACAAGAATACAGAAAATCAACGTCAGAAACGCATGCTGGCGAATGGCGTGAAAACTTCAAAACTAGCTCTCCAATGCAGCATTTTACTGAAGCAGTCACAAGCAATACCTGGCAGTTAGGTATCTTTGCAGCTTGCAATGCATGCACGTACTGAACACACCGCTTTAACCTATCGAAAATGTTGATTGTCTGCATGAACCTTCCAAGAAATGTATTTCGATGGGAATTCTTGGACTCATTGGACGAGAAGGAGCGAAGTGCTCTGAGTGACCAATTTTATTGACATACCCTGCAGCGCACATCGCATAGATCTCATATGAGCGGGACGGTATACCTAATAGGTCCAATGAATGACGACCCTCTTCGCACCGTTCTTCTCTTTTCTTTCGTTACCGCTCATTGTGACGCCTCTATACCCCTGACTATGTTTCTGAAGGATTGTCTCCGTAATGCTGACGAGAAGGCATTCATAAGGTTTTCTTAAACGTTATTGCGTACTTCGAACCAGTTTATTTAACTTTATTTCAAGAGCATGCAATGTTAAATAACAATATATGCACCACTTTTATAAACAACCTGTTGCCAACCTGGGCGAAGAGTGAGTGTCTTGCTTCTTGAACTCTTGCGGTTTCGGACTGAAAAATAAGGAGAGTTCATTTCTCCTCAGGTCCTGCCGAGAATCGTATTTCTTGCCCGCATTATGGCTGCTTAGAGGCAAGAATAGATGGTAGTCGGTCGGGGGTGTACGGTTGGTGGGGTGGTATTTCCCAACCGAGGTTCAGGATCTGGAGCTGTGTTACCGAAGAAACACGCGGCCTTGTGTTGTCGTGGAGCAAGTACAGGGTGGCTAAGAAGAATGGGACGCGATTTTGATAGCTTGTTGGCTTCGAGCCGTGAAGTATTTGAGAAGTGGTTCTAAATTCTGTGAGAGTACCAGAGCTATTCAGGAGTCTCCACAGGTTATTTGGCCCTAAGTTCATTCAAACTCTCGCTTGGAAGAGTTCTCCCCATCGATCGTCAGGAGTTTGCCCAGAAATGTTTCCCGAAGATGTGACCTTGCAGGACGACTCGACCCTCTTAAATTCTTCGGAACATTTTCGCTGCTTCTACTGTTCAAATACACATCTCTGAGGTTACGAAATGTGAAAGGTGGAGAACTGCGCACACTCCAGTCACCTAAGGAAGAGGACCACTCACAACGATGGAACCAGCGTGTGTCACATCGTTTTCGATCTCAGAATCTGCTTTCAGTCCCTCCAGAAGACCCTGATAAGCAACCGCAGTCTAAAGAGCTACCGACTCCACCTATGCTGGCTTTTACTGTAGCAAAACTGAAATCCGAACTGAATCGACTGATGAAATGCAAAAAAAAGTCTGCGCGAGCTCGAGGCGCGCCGTATCTCACTAGCGATTTAGACGTATGGAAAAATCTTCGCTTCAAACTTCTTCGCGATCGTCAAAATCAGAGGCACTCGTTGACGAGAACTGAGAGCAAGCCTTCAAAATAACGTCAGGCTCATAATAGGTTCTCTACCAAAAGTGTGATAGTTTGGGAACACCCGAAAGGGAAGCCCAATTGATGTCAATCTTCAGAAAATACTGAAATTACCTCAAAGATCTTTCAAAGGACGATGATGAGGTAAGCTATGTTGTTTTTGATCCACGAACAATCTGCTCAATGATTGTTCGCTTGAAATTGGGCTCGCTAATACGCCTTCAAATCCGTCAAAGCGGCCCTGGACGTTTGATGCTCTGAAGTTAGCGCTCCAGAAGACATGGGACAATATCATTGTTGGCTACTTGCGGCGCACTGCTGATTTTGTCGTTGGACGTCAGAAGGCCTCTATCAAAGCAGAACTGTCAAAGTCAGAGCACCTTTTCATCTAAGTGATCACATAGCTCGACTCCATCTTTCCGTTCGGTTGGTTTGTTAATCGAGCCGTTTTCTTGACCTTTACACCTCATGGCGCCCTATACTTTTTAGCCAGCCTGCATACTTTATCGAGCTCTGGAAAAACTAGTTGGAGCTTACCCGCCAAAACTTGTAGCTAATTATAGTAGACTTAAGCTGTAATTGTGGCGTTGGGAGGGAGAACCTGATGGTACACTTCGCAAACGCCCACCAGACGCACAGCATAATTTTCTTTCTGATCGCACAACTAGTTAACTCTTTGGTGTGGATCCGGCCACCGGCGTTTTCGCGTATAATTCACGTAAAGGCACTACTTCTCATCGCTAGAGATAAAGTTCTTCAAACAGTCTGTTCGGCCGGAGCGGGAGATGTAATGGTTGGCTTCAATCGAGAATTGTAACCGGTCCAAGTCCAAGGCAGATAATCTCCCTGAACGCTATGAACAGTACTTGCCTTCAGAGTTGTAGTCGCCTGCGAAAATCGGTCACATCATTTCATCACCGTGCGATGGGAGAATGCATCATCCAACGAGCAGGTGTTGCAAGTGGCTTCGGCTGCGTTATGTCCCAATTAAACTCAAACAGCAAAACGTGACGAAGCGAGCTTTTTTATCTTTTTTTATCTGCCAATGAGTACAACAAAATCGCAATTTTTGCAAGCTAGATAAGGATATGGGTTACCTTATACAATGTGCTCTACTTTGCCCTCATGACCTGTTTGCTCAATCAATGGAGAAAATTTTGGCGGGAGATTTAAAAAATATCCACGAACTTTTGTGACCAATTTTGTTTAACGCACAGCTCTACACGCATTTTCTAGATGAAATGCATGTGCTCCAATATCTAACGGCAACGATTTTAGCCCTCGACGATGGCCAAAAGCAACAAGGCACTATCCTTGAGAGGCTGCTAGTACCACATTTGTCTGTATCAGAGAGCGATGGCTATAAGCGTATGTACATGAACTTTGGAACAATTCACGCAGTAAACGGCACTGAGTTCGCTGCTAATGTCGAAGAACTTCATAAAATTTGTGATGTGAGTTTTTCGCTCCTTGAGGCATTTCTTCAAAATGCTGATTAGGAAAGCATCCCAGGCCGAGGTGACCACATTCAATTGGATATACAGTAGCGGTCAAAAGTGCTCGCCAAAACGTTGTTTCGTACATCATTTTTTGTCACTCAAACGGTGCACTTCAGATATTAATGAGACATGCCTTTTAAAGCCTTTAACTCTTCAAACTATTAAAGAGTTCAGATAATTGGAAGAAAGGTTTCGAACTAATCTTTAGATCTTTCTCTGGAGGGAGGAAATGAAATCACGAAAAAGCGTTTGGCGAACACTTTTGACCGCTACTGTATATTATACTAGAGCCTTATTTCTTTGAACTCTTATCTCAAATCTGTTTTCATGTTGCTAACCGCTCTCTGAACGAAGTGATGAAGCAGGATAGTGCAGCGGTAGAGGTGCATGCTCCAAAGCAGGAAATACTAGGATAGGCTCCTTGACGTGTTTGCCTCTTTGCTTGTTCTGCACCATAGCTATAAACACTTCCAAATGTAGCTCATTAACATTTGGCCAGGAACTACGTATTTCCCCTTCACCGCTCGCAACACTTACAACGCACTCAACACCCTTTTTTGCGCAAAACGAAGTGATTTTTATGTGATTTATGTTTAAGTGATTTAGTAACGCTCGAAAAATCAGACTAGCGAGATTGACTCACGTATCACATAGTGTTGCTATCGCAGTGTTCCTATCAATACCCGCCATCGTCGTTGACAGAGCAGCCCTAGAATCACTGGCCAAGGGCCAATGACTGTCCACTATTTGGAAATTGGTCAGAATCTCAGATTTAGTCTGCCTTCAGAAGTAAATTGATCCCGTGAACCTAAGTGGCCCACTCGCTTGTTCGGAGATAGCCCACACTGGAAAAATCAAACGCCAAAGCTTTCTCTAGGAGCGAGCAGTCATTTGAAGCTTCAAAATGAATGATCTCGAACTCATTGAAAACGGTGTTATGGTTAATTATAGTAGACTTAGATTTGGAACATTTGTAATAAAATGCGGCCCAGTGTGACTACTCACGAAAAAAAAGACGCTCAAAGGGATAAGAACCACATACTGAGAAATTTTTGTTCTATTCACTACGCCATCCATGTCGCCTTCCGTGCTGGCCGCTACTGTTTGCACTGTATCCTGAGAGTTTTGAATTGCGTAAAGTAGCCTCTGTATTTTCTTTCGCAGAATCGATCAATTTGAAAAGCCGTCTCGGAAACTTCGTCTAGGAACTCTGCCCATGGGATAAGTCCCATTAGCTGTGGCCACTTCTCCTTGGGATCCTTTCCCTGTACGGCAAGATTAGGTTTAAGGTTCTTCCCAACGGGTACGCGGTTTCAAGTGATGACTTCGTTGATCAAGCGGAATTTCAGAAAATAGTTCGCGAGGCAAGTACTTGAGTAATCAGTTCCTGAAGGAAAACCTTATGCGACTCTGTAAAGACAGTCGTTCCAACAAGCATTACAGTTATCTCCATCAGTACCAGTGCGAGTGCCTGCGAGACGTGAACCCAAGAATAAAGATAAACCGAATGCAGACTGTAATCCTCACAAAGATGTCCACATCTATGCAAGATGGTTTTTTCATGTCAGTGATATAAGACAGCCAACGGTCAGTAACCAGCATTTTAGTTACTTTATACGCCTATAGTTTAGTTAGTATTAGGTTGTAGGGAAAGTTCTCGCGAATTTTTCGAAGCACGCCTTGAGTTGAATTGAGCAACTTTTTTGAATCGAAGCCAGAAGTTCTTTGCCGAAGGCATCAAAAGTCTGCCCGAAAAATGGCGAGAGTGATAGAACGTGATGGTGATTACGTTGTTTCCTAATATGTTTTCTTGTTGATAAAAAATTAAGGTAATGATATGTTTCAAAAACCGCGAGAACTTTCCCTACAACCTATTATTTTCGCGTATCAGTGCAACGCAGCCGCAAGCTGTACTTACAGACTGGTGCTATTCAGGCCTCTGTAGAAATGTCACTCTTTCGATAGCCCAGTACGGCTAACTTTTGAAATTTTTTCTTCTGTCTGTTTTTTCTTGTATATTGCGACAGCTCCCACCATTTTTCCATGAAGGCCCACAAAAGAAGCTACAATTCAAAACTCCGCTAAGAATGCCGACGTAATGCATTGATTGCCACATAATTTTCGGGAAATTTTGGATTTTTTTCGATTTCATTACTTGTTTTATTTATAGAATAGCATATCGCCAACGCTAATGTCGGTGTTAAATATCCCCTTGTAGAATTTTATAGAGGTCTGTGAAGGAAAGTTAAGTCGATCACGGTGATTGAAGTAAGATTTCTTCTAAACTGGAGAGAGGAGCGGATTGTCGTTAGTTGGCACAATATTAGTGCTACAAGGGCGAAGCTAAAATAACTGTAACTGACCGCCCAAGAATCTTCAACTTTTTATGTGCAATTTGGAGGCGTCGCCATTGTTGAAGATTATCTTCATCACTGACACTGGTATTATTTGGTATCGGTTTCCAGCGAAGCCTCTATTGTATATCAACAACAACTCAGAAAGGTAGAATTCAGGAGTGTCAGAACTCCCGGATGGTTTATGCTGAGCTGCTCCGAATTGTGATTTTGCTAGCACCCTGCACTCAGTCCACAACGCCGGCGAGTATGCTGGAAGACCATTCGGAGGAACTGTTGGAAAACAGCAGGAACATAGTGATGTCAGATATTCATTCTTCACAACGGTATGGAACTGTCTCGGTACTGTCACTTTGTCGCATCAGAAACGCTCTGGCAAATACCGACTGATTTGCTCAGCTTCCTTTTCAATTCAGGATTTCGGATAGGGCATCGAGATTGCCAGTTGCTGTGCTGTTGGAGAGTTTATCGCATTCAAATAAAAGGAGGCAACCCTGAGCAAAGTAACCACAAGCGCACCGAAGGTACCCTCAACTATCTTCTGCTTGATCCTTCATGTAACCTGGCGCGCGAAAGTTTCTAATCGGCAGTCATCAAGAAAGAGGCTCAGAAAGGGGTTCAAGAAAATGGAGTCCTAGTCAAAGAAAGCAACAAGTAATTAAGGTGGCTAGCCTGCCGGATAGGAGTTCATGTGTACTGAGTTGCAATGCATGTTGAATAGCCTCAGTGCCTATCGAAAGTTTTTCACACCAATGCATGTGAAGTGTCTCAGAAATTGTGTCAACCTGATGCATTCGAACATCATGAAAGCCCAACTTTGCAATTGCAAGTCGGCAAATGGGAGGTACCGGCTATTTCGATGCCTCTCCGCTGAGCACTGTTGTTGTATTTGAACAGGTCGTTTCTCATCTGAACAGGTATTGTGTTTGAACATGAATTACTTCTGAGAATATGAAGACAATGGTTGCCACCAACTAAGTTTTATACAGGGTGTTCCAAGTTACTTGCGCCAAATTCCAAAAATTTATTAGAAAAGGTACATCGATTACACCAATTTCCGGTAGATAAGTCTGCGCCAATTTCACGTTAAATCACATCCGCCGTGCAGTAACTTTATACACCTTGGAAACCACTGCGAATTTGCCTACGGTATGCCGACGTCTTGATTACGAAAATGACATTCATACTTAGCGGTGGCGCCACCTTGTCACGGCAACAATTTTCACCAAATTTTGTGTAAACTTCCCAAGTAATCCCTATACAGAAGTTTTCACCGGTTCAAGTGAAAACAAGGGTCGTGACAAGGTGACGCCTATTTGTAGATCAGCGCCTCTTATCAACCCTTGTCAGCCCTTACCACGCTAACTTTTTTAACACGTTGACGACATCGCGCGTTTTGTGCTTTTGCACCGCGTGGGACAGGAGCGATTTTGCGAGCGCAGCCGCCGCACACCAATTACGTGGATTTTAAGTGATAAATTCGCAATACTTAAATGCCATGAACTGTTTTCAATGATGTTCGTTCTGTCTAGCTTTTCAGGAGCTACAGTAATGGAAGTTTGGTCGAAATCACGCGCTAAGGCCACGAACTGGGAAAGTTATAAACCGAATTCCCTTCAGTGGTCCCAAAATTAATTTGGACGTGGTTGTTTAGTAAACACATATCTTCCAATTGGAATAGTTTGTATTCGCTTCAATTATTCCTTTTTATCAACCCGCCAATGTTATTGAAAAGAAAACGAGAAATGTATTGAACAGACATATCCGTTAGGCCTGGAAAACGTCTGCCAAACCAATATTCGACCTTTCTTCGAGCTTTTTGGGGCTTTTTAAGTATGCTAATGTATGACCTACAGAATGAGTACAAAGACCTCAGGAATAAGTCACACAAGCGCAAGAAAAAAGGATGACATGAGTGGGACGCGTTGCCGCGTCATATGTCCCACGAGGTGCGCAAAGTGGGGCGCGTTACAGCGTCACGCTGTTGCTAACGTGTTAAAGTCTAACCTTGTGGTCGTATTCATGACTGTGAAATTACTATGAAACAATATCCTCCATGTTCGCCTTTCTTGAAACCTGGACATTTTGATGTTGAACAGTTGTTTTTTGTTTGTGTGCCACACAGGTTTTTTACGGTGGAATCTTTATTGAGCCTGACGTTTCGACTATATCGTCGTCCTCAAAGACCCGAATGCGTTTTGAAAAACTCAAATGCTGCCTATCCGCTCAATATGGATCCACATTTGACCAAGTACCACGTAGGATAACTGAACTAAGTAGTGGGAACTCCAAGATTGGGTCGCTTACCTCAACTCCACCAGCGTCACCGCTTCTCGCTCAACAGCCTCCTTTGATGCCCTCCAAAGACAGTAGAATAAATGAGACAACCAGTCGTGCACTGCTTATAAAGAGCGTATGTGCAATGCATGAAGTTCTCATTATCATAGCTCACAAATAGAGATGTATGGCATGATGTCAGCAGTTATGGAGATGCATTCGCTTCTGTTATTCATGCAAGGATTACGTTGCCTTATATAGAAAGCTTCAAGGGTCTTTCTCGCACCAATATCGTTTTCGTAAGGTAATATTGTACACTTTACTTAAAAATCACCACCAGCATGACTTTCCCTTTTGTGTTTACTAAACGGTGCAGCCGTGCTATCTCTTCTTTTGCTAGCCAGATGTTTCTCTCTCGTACGCCTTGTCTGCCAGTTTCTCCAATGTACAAGGCATCACATGTTGAACATTGAAGCTGGTAAACCACAGATCTTTGTGCACAGTCTCCGACTTTTCCATACGGGCAGATCACGCAGTTGTCTACGGCACAGGTTCGATCATGGAGACGATTTCTGACCAACTGGTGTTTAATGTTGTCTATTGGTGTGTTGATCAAGAAGACATCGTTGGCCAAATCTGAATAATGTTTTTCAACTGAATCTCCAAGTGAATAAAATTATGTGCAGCAAAACATCAGCGTGAAGGGGGTTTGAGCGCTTTTTCAGCTTACACGTCTTTCGGCGATGAATTTTCGAAGTCTCCAAATATACATCGTTCACAATAACCTTTGTTTGGAATCCAACCCATGTTTGCCCTATCGTGGTATCAAAACCGGTACGGCAAACGATGGGTGTAATATACCCAATTCCCTCGAAGGTCCGGTGAAGGGTGAAATGCGTCTTCAAATATTCTGTACTATATCTGAATAATCATCACTGCTATTCAACAAACATGCTCAGGCAGACTGTGGGGTAATGAAACTGACTTGTTTGCCATCGTTATTTTTAAGCAGAGTTTGGTCATAGCAAATTTCTGGATCCTTCACTATCGCTGTGTGTAAGCATTCATTAACTATTGTATTTGAAATGTTCATGACACGCTAAGTAGGCGGAAAATATCATAATAATAAGGACTTCAGGACTTAACATGATAATAAGGACTTAATAAGGACTACGGAAAGAAAAAGAACCCTTTTGGAAGATGTCCCATCTTCTTGAAACCTGGGCATTCCGATTATTTCTTGCTTCTGTTTAGCCTTCCAGGTTTGATATGGTGGAACACTTTATTGGTCGACGTTTCGAACAAATCGTCGCTTTTAGAACCTAAAAATTGATACGATGCTCTAGTTTGTAGCCTATCCGCTCACACCCCACTAGTACCAAATGTTACGCTTCTCAGTAATCTCAAACCAAGATAAGTTCCAGCTAAAACCAATCTCTTACGCTCCACCAGTACTGGGTTCCGCTCGACAGCTGACGAAAAATGAGACACATTCACTCAAACGTAGTACGTGCAGTGCGTGATGATCTCATAATTCGCATAAGGGAATGAAAGGCAGGAACTCACTCGTGACGGCCATTCACTCATTTCGGTTTACAGCTTAGGATTTTGTATGTTTTTCAAACCGGTGCTTGCCAAGCGGAGTGAGAAGGCTTCCACGTCTTCCCAGCCAGGTGTTCTTTATATGTATTTTTAACATCCTGCCTGTTTCCTCAATATACGCTTCGCCACAGGTGGAACAT